GGACAGAAAAGACTTTCTATACCTAAGAGCAAGAAACACATGGGGCATCTGTCCACTCTTGATTTCAGCAATTAGTACTGTTTGGGGACCTTCAGAAGGCCGTGCCTACTTGGCTGAAGTGGATTGCTGGAAAGCCAGTCTTGAGGGTTCAACTTTCTGATCTCAGATATGTGAGCATATCTTCCACTACCATGCCTTCCTGGATATGGTCTGTACCTTCTCTAGCCATGAGGCCAAAGCACCTTGTTAAGTTGTTTCTGTTAGGTATTTTAGTAACAGTGTAGAAAAAAATTAACTAATAATACATTGGGTCTTAGCCAGACCTGGAGATACAGTGACCTTTTACATTAAATTATTTTTTTAATTTAATCGTATGAATGTTTCTTCTGTGTGTGTCTGTGCAGCATGTGCATGCAGTGCCCACAGAGACCAGAAGAGGGAGGTAGATACCCTAGAACTGGAGTTACAGATGGTTGTGAACCTCCATGTGGGTTCTGTGACTAGAACCTGGATCTTCTTGCAACAGCAACAAGTGCTCTTAACAGTGATCCCTCTATCCAGCCTTCACAGTGACCTTTTGTGTTACCCACCACAGGGTAATATTAAATCAGAGCGAGGGCCTAGTAACTGTAATTCCTTTTTCCTGAATCTTTCAGGACATTGAGAGTTGGTCTCTAGCAGAAGCGAGGTGGAGGATCACTACTTAGGCTTTGGTTGGTGTCAGTAAGCCCCTGAAGGGAACATGCCCCAGATGGAGGCATCAGTAAGCCCCTGAAGGGAACATGCCCCAGATGGAGGCATCAGTAAGCCCCTGAAGGGAACATGCCCCAAATGGAGGCATCCATGTCTAAAACTTGCTGGGAGCTGGAAACTGATGCTGTGTGGGTGGTTGTGTTGGTACCTCATTGACCTTTTTTCCAGGAACTGAGCTGCCACTCCATTTGGTTACTCACAGATACCTGTCATTAAGAGACAGTAGTGTGTGGTTGTATGTATGTATGTGTTACTTCAGATGGCCTCGCCCTATAGCCCAGGCTGCCCTTCATCTCACAGTGGTCCTTCTACCTTAGCCTCCCAAGTTCTGGGATGACAAACCTGAACCACCATGTCTGATGAGAATTGCTTTGCTTCGTCACCATGCCTGCTTGCTGGCCTGTTTGCCTTCACACTCCCTGCCGTGATAGTCACGGACTCACCTTCTGACACTGCAAGCCCCAAATAAAGTCTTCTATAAGTGGCCTTGGTCATAGCGTCTCTTCACAGTAATAGAAAAGTAAGCTTGCATTCCCTTCAGTGACAGGGTCTGGGTGGGAGTGGGGGTGTGGGTGGGAATGTGTTCTGCTCTGAAGGGTCAAGGAAGAAAAGGAAAATTCTACATGTCTTATTTAAGATGTGTTTGCCCTGCATGGACACCTGCTCCATTAGCCATCCAGAAGCCAGGGGATGTAGACAACACTGGAGAAGATGTGTGGCTGGGCAGTGGTGGCGCACACCTTTAATGCCAACACTCAGGAGCCAGAGGCAGGCTGGTCTCTGTGAGTCTGAGGCCAGTCTGGTCTACAGAGCAAGTTCCAGGATGGCCAGGGCTGTCACACAGAAAAAAACCTTGTCTTGAAAAATCAGAGAGGGAGGGAGGGAGAGAGAGAGAGAAGAGAGAGAGAGAGGAGAGAGAAGAGAGAGAGAGAAAGGTGTGTGTGTGTGTGTGTGTGTGTGTGTGTGTGTGCGTGCTCATGTGTGTGTAGCCTAGCATATTCAAACTCCAAACCCCTGGGTGTGATTCCCGGTACTGCAGAAAATGTTTATTATCTGTAAATACCTAGGTAGAGCTGGTGAAATGGCTCAGTGAGTAAAGTGTTAGATACCCAGCAGGGATATAAAGGCACCTGAGGTGGGGAAGAAGAAAGAGGACCCTGGGAGCTCACTGACCAGCCTATTTAGCTAGTCCATGAACTCCAGGTACAGTGAAAGACCCTGTCTGAAAAAAATAAGGTAGAGAGAGAGCAATAGCAATAGAGAAAGACATCCAGTGTTGACCTTTGCCCTCTGTGTTTCTGTTCACAGGCACGTGCACCATTATACACGTGTATATTAAACACATGCTACGTTCCTAGGTAGTGAAAAATAAATTTTTTGAGACAAGGTTCAGGCTGTCCTTAAACTCAAGTCCTCTGGCTCCAGGCTCTCAGTGTACAGCTGTAGGCTATGAAGTACTGCAATAACTAACATTCCTTTTGTATTGTTTGTGACAGGTCCTCATCATATAGCCCTGGCTACCCTGGGACTGGCTATGGCCACCAGGCTGGTCTCACCTGCCTCTGCCTCTGGAGTGCTAGGATTAAGGGCATGTGCCATCATGTCTGGCCCTCCTTTTTTTTCCTAAGGCAGACGCCTCTATGTAATTGAGGTAGGCCCTAAACTCATACTGTGTAGATCAGGCTGACCTTGGACAGGGTTTCTGCCTCTCTAGGGCTAGGATGACAGGTGTGTGCCACCATATCCACTTTGTCGTGAAAGTTTTCAACCAAACCCCTCCAAGTAACAAAACTAAAATTCCCTGTGGTTCTAATGGTGGAACATTCAGGAAGGCCCTGAGGGGTTCAGATAACTGCATCCTCACATCCTAGGAGATGTGGAAGAGAGGGGAACTGGGATGGGATAGGGTGGGAGTGGGAGGGGATTTGAGATAGGGTAGGAGTGAGGTGGGAGGAGATTCGGGATGGGGTAGGAATGAGGTGGGAGGGGGGCTGAGGTGGGGTAGGGGTGCGGTGGTGGAAGGGGGGCTGAGACGGGGTAGGAGTGCGGTGGGAGGGGGCTGAGATGGCGCAGGGGTGAAGCCTGGAAGCTTGGAAAGTGAGGTCCTCCTGGAGGTCAAAGTGTAGCACTGGCATTATGACCCTTTTGAGGCCTACTTCCTCCTCTCTGACTCAGGAACGCTGTCAAAGGCTGAGATGGTTTCAGGATGGGGCAATAAATGCTAGTTCTCTCCCCACCCTTCCCCTTTGCCACTCTGCTCCATAAGTGAGAGAGGTTACGGAAAATGATGAAAAGGTCAAACACTTATTGTGATCCAATATGTCATAGTAGATGATGCCACCCAGGATGGCCCCTATGACCTTTACCTCCTGCTTTTTACACTTTACAAACGGTGTCTTTCAGCACTTGAGAGGAAGAAGCATTAGTGGACAGGTGTGAGCCTTCTAGACAGGGAGAGAAAAGACACAATGGCGTTTGGGGGAAGTCAGTCAGGTGGACAAGAGCTTCTACTACATAGTGAGTTCAATCCATCCCAGGCTACCTGAGACGCTGTCCCAAGAATAAAACAGACAGGTGTGGTGGGGCATGCCGTCATTCTCAACACTCTGGAGAAAAACCACTGACAGCGGGGCGAGTGTAGAACTCCGTGAGTTCGAGGCCAGTCTGATCTACATAGCAAGATCCTGACCAGACAGAGCTACATAGCGAGACTGTGCCTCAAAAAAACAAATGAAATACAAATTGTATCAGGGAATGGAACCCGTTGATGATCTGCTTGTGTAACATGTACAAGGCCCTGGCTTTGATCTCTAGTGCTGAATAAGCCAGAAATCCTGGAGGTGATTATAGTCCCAGCTCTCTGGAGGTGGACCTGGGAAGAGAGGATCAGGAGCTGAAGGTCATGGGGAGTTTGAGGCCAGCCTGGGGTCTAAACACAGGGTCCTATGTAGCTCCTGCTAATCTCTCTGACCCTTGATCTTCCTCAATGCCGGGATGACAGGTTACACACCTTGCTTTGATATGGAGCATACCATCCTCCCAGCTCAGCTTCTTGGGCACAGGGATAAGTATGCAAAACCACACCCTTTGTGGCGAGATTTTTCCAGAAACCATTTCGGTAATTCTTCGTGGCTTGTTTACAAGTAGCTGTGACCATTTTTCATAGAGGAGAAATCTGAGTCACCATGGATTGAAGTCACACTAAGGTCACAGAAAGGCCCTTGGAGGGAAATATGCAAATGTAAATAGTCTGCCAGGATGGATTGCAGCTCAGGGCTTCCTGGTGTGGACTGCTTCTGAGTCAAAGCTCAGTGGGGGCACTGGAGTGAGCCTGCTGGAGGGCAGGGGGAGGATGCGCTGTGGTGGAGACACAATATAGAAAGGCCAGGGCATGAGGGACATGCAGGGCTCACCTGAGAGAGCTGCAAAGGTCTGTGGGAGACAGGAAGAGGAAACGGAATCCAGAGACTGTGTCAGGTGTAAGCTCTTCAGTGGGACATGAGAGACAGCTTCCAGGCTAGTTGTTCATTGGTGTGTGTGTGTTTAGGTAGGCATGTATATGCATATGCATTTACGTGTATAAATGTGTGAAATATGTTTGTGTACATATGGGTATGTATACATGCATATATGTGCATATGTATATATATGCATGTGTGGATGGATGTTGTGTGCCTATGTCTATGTGCATATATGTGTGTAAATGTATGTGTATGTGTTTATGTGTAGATATGTGTGTGTACATTTGGGTATGTACTCATGCTTATGTATATATGTGGGTACCTATTTATATGTATTTGTGGCTATATGTGTGTAAATGTATATGTGTTTGTGTGTGTGTGTGTGTGTAGTCCTGATTTGCTTGTAATTTACAGTAACCCTGATCCAGCTTTCCCTCTCAAGCTGGGATTACAGGTGTGAGTCAGCACACCTGGCTTCGGGATGGCTGTGATGTGCTCCATCCACTAAGAGAGGACAGTCAGACGGACATTTGTGCCTTTGAAGTCTGCAAGGTGCATTCACACAGTGGGAGCCGACCTCTGCTTGCCTAGGGGCTCTGAAGGCAGCTGAGTGGAGAAGAAGCTTTTGTGGTATAAAATCGTGGCGGGGGAGGGGGGTAGCTGAGCTCTGAGCATTCCAGATAGGGCCAAAGAGAAGATGCCCAGGATGTCTGTTGGTGTGGGGTACTGGGAAGGAAAGGAAGGAGGGTGAGGGACAGGGACAGGGCAGGGCCCAGCTGGGCTCTCAAGCTTAGAGCTTCTACTTCCTCCTCCGCCCATTCCAGTGCTAGCCTCTGGCCTCACCAATGGGCTGGCAAAAGAAAAAGTCTTAGGTTTAAAGTCCAACAGGTAGAGGTTCCAGACCTAGGATTCCTGTGTTCCCTGCGCAGTATCGGGACACATGGCCAGAGCTGGTGGGAACCTGGGGGTCTGGGGGAGCTTGGTGCTACTGGTAAGTTCTTTCATGCTCAGGACTGAGCTTGGAGCCAAGGGAGGGAGGGAGGCATAGGAAGGGGCTAGAATCTCCATTCCCAGAGATGTGGAGGAAGGGCCCTCGGATGGTCTTTAACCGAGGAAAGGAAGGAAGCTCTGAGACTGGAAGAATCTAGACAAATCTGACCATACTGGGTGTTTTAGGTCTGGTATGACAGTGAACATGGGATCAGGCTGTTCGCACACACAGCCCAGCCCTCCTCCTCAGAGTCAGAAGCCCAGAGCTACCCGCCTTCCTCCACACCCGGAGATCCACAGTGACCAAGCTCTGACCCAGCTCTCTCTGCCCACAGTCTGTCTCCAGAGTTCAGTTTTGTTTTCCTCTAGTCGTCCCTCTTGGTCCCTGGGCGCCCTCCCCCAGGGCCTCTGCTTATATTTTTCAGAAAGTGAAAGCACTCACAGTGTCTCTTGTCCTTATCCGGGAAGCAACCTTGGTTCCTGCTTCCCTGGAGCTCCACCTCTGCCATGGGTGACCAGCTTCCTAACCAACAGCACCAGTGTTGGGGTGCCCTTATCTCACCCTGTCCCCACATTTCTCTCCTCGGTCAAGGTGGGAGGAAAGGTTGGGGGCAGAGATCAGGACAGTCTTGAGAAGCCTGTCAGCCCCACCTCCCCAGTCTCACCTAGCTCAGCTAATGTCTTCCTACCTGGATCCCTCTAGGGTCTGAGCAGCTGCACTGTGCCCTGGGCGGCTGGTGAGTAAATTCCTACCTTTAATTGTTGTCCTTGCCAAGAGAGAGATCCTTTGACTCTGATGGACCCTGGTGAGCTGAGGACAAGGGTAGCTTCTCAATTTGGGGAGGAGGGAGGTACAGGGTGATAGGAGGGGGAAAAATGGTTGACCTATGCTTTTCTAATCTGAAAGCCTCACTCGAATTTTCAGCTCTAAATGCAGTGAGTAACCTGAAGGCAGAGGCCCAGACCACCAGCTCCATCACCCTGAGCTGGGAGGCCCCAAACGATCCGGACCCTGAAAACCTGACCTACTGGGTTCAGTGCCGTAGAGATGATAACATACATAAAACTATAAACACCACAGACACCATCTTAACGGTAGATGGACTTGCTCCGGCTTCCTCATACGAATTTTCCGTGTGGGCAGAAAAAGATGGAACCAATAGCACCCTGAAGACCATCAA